TTGTTTAAGTTGTATATTTATACTGTCATATTCCAAAATGTTAATAAGCTTTGCACCTCTTTATCTTGTAAGTTGTTTTATAGTTGTTACAACAGACAGCTAAACCAAAGCAGCATTTCAACCTCTATTTACATCACGGTAAAATTGAACTGTCGCCCCCCAAATAGTAGTTCCAATGATTTTTAACTAGACATTTGCATGACCAATTCCAGATTTTGAGAATTATTCATTTGATACCGGATTTGTACCTTAAAAGACTTAGCAAATTATAAAATACAAATTCTCTTTAACAGAGAGACTATTAAACAGCATTGTAAGCTGATTAACACCTGTGGTTTAAACCTGAACTATTTGTTCACATACATAAATGTGGGCTCGTTGGCTGTTTTTCCTGAGATATTGGTCAGGGTCACCACTTTGGTTCACCCAGGCAAAGGCAGCAATACTTCTAACTCACCTTTCCTGTCTTTGGGATTCTAAAGCTTGTGTATCAGATTAGGCGTGGAGCTTTCAAATCTTCCTGATGTCTCCACAGCATTCCAGAACCATCTCACAGAAAACATGGTTCAAAAAACCCACTTTATTTCTGGTTACGCCCTGATAGATTGATCCACTCTCCCTGAGGCCTTGGTCAGCATTCAGAACCTGCCATCTACTTGAACAAAGGGTCTTCCCTCGACTTGTTGGCACCAACTCCTCGTACTGACCCCGTTAACAGCCAACTTCTGCTATCTGTTTAAACACAGCTTTTCCCATGAGTCACTGTGTCTGCCAGAACCTTTTTAATCAATGCTCAGCCTGCAATCAGCCTCCACGCCTGGCCTCAAAGCGTGCCTGGTCTGTTCTTTTTAACTCTAGCTGCCTCAAAGTCCATTAGTCATTTCCAGCTCCTAATTTTAAAAATGTTAAAAAGAACAAAAATAAATCACCCAGGGTTCTAACATAATAGATAGTGTGGTTCTTTGTTTATAAAAAAAACCTGACTGGTAAATTTTCTATTTTGAAATGGATAGATTGATGTATGCAGTTGGCCATTGTGATAACATATCATGACACTGTAAAAATTACTTAGTTATGACCAGTAGAGTAGTGGTATTAGAGAGACCGCATTCCTCACACCTTGGTTGTAACATCACTACCAACCAAGGCATCTGCATGGGTATATATTATTAGGCAGGGTTTAGAGGGATATGTGCCAAATGCTGGTAAATGGGACTAGGCCAGACTGGGACATGAGTTGGCCCGAAGGGCCTGTTTCCGTGCTCGCTCTATGCTGTGAGCATTTATGTAGGCTCAAGTCAGTGGTATCCCAATGAGTAAGTCCAGAGATGCAGCCTGATTGAATCCATGAGCTGGATGTGTTCTTGAACGCAGAGTGTCCTTGCTGCAGCATCACCATGGTAGTAGCTGGTATAATATTGAAGTATAGAAGTTTCCTGTAAATGGATCAGGGATATGCCACGAAGGTTCATAGGTAGCAGTATCCGTGGATGCGAGAGATGTGCCTGAGATGTTGGTGCTAACTGTCTGACATGGTCTTTTGAAGCAAGCAGTGAGTTGAATGTGCTCTGGTTTCCATATATACTTTTCTTGATGGATAGCTTAAGGTAAGTTTTTGGTACGCTTGTGACCTGTGGCAAGGTGGACTGTTAACACGACGTGCAGTCATCATTGATTGTTAAAACAAACACAGAAAATTCTGGAGAAACTCTGGACTGGCAGCATCAGTAGAGAGAGAGAAAGTTGATGTTTACAGCCCTGTTCTGAACAAGTCACATGACGTTAACTCTGTTTCTCTCTCCACAAATGCTGCCAGACTTGAATTTCTCTGGTACTTTCTGTTTTTGTTTCTGGTTTCCGGAGTCTGCAGCATTTAGCTTTTTATCAATGACTGACTGACTGTCATTTGGGCATTTGTTGCTGTCTAGTGAGAATCCCACTATGCCACTTGGGAAAAGCATATAACATGCAGCGAAACGATCTTGATATTGGAATGGGCCATATTGAACATTTTGCTTAATTCATCATTCATCTTGCTGTGCTGTACATCAGAGACTGAGATTCTGCCTAAGTGTTCTTTTTCTGAGCTGGGAGGCTTCCATCTTTTCAGCAGGCTTCTCCCCAGCTACTCCACGCAATATCCAAAACAAAAACTAGAACTGACAGCCATAAATCCAGGTAGGTGGTCTCCAGTATATTTAAGAAAAAATCATCATTATTTATGACTAATAACAAACATCATGTTAAAATATGCTCTAATGTCCTTTCATTTGACTTTTTTAAACATGTCCTGACATCGCTGCCAATGTCATCAGCTATCCTATTGAATGCTTCCTTTATGCTGTTTCAGTCACAATTAGAATAGGTTTCATAATACACACAATAAATAACTTGGGGGGGAAAGCTTTCTGTCTTCCTACTGATGTGGTAATGTGTCTGAGTACTGGTCTTGATTGAACTCTTCTTTTTATGGTTAAAGACATTGGGTGGAATAAAATGATTCATCTGCAAGCCGATTAGGTGTGTGTGTGGGAGTGACTGTATAGTGAAGCAACCAGATGTAGGAACAGTGATTTATTTACAAGTCAGGATGGTGTGTAACTTGGAGGGGAACTTGGGCAACGTGGTGTGCCCATGTATCTGCTGTCCTTTGTCCTTCTAGACCTAAATGGTTGAGAGTTTGAAAGGTGCTTTGTGAATTTCTGTAGTGCACCTTTTATAGATGATATGCAATGCTGCTACTGAGCGTTGGGAGTGGATGTTTGTGGATATGGTGCCAATTAATCAGGCTGCTTTATCTTGGATGGTGTCCAACATCTTGAGTGTTATTGGAATTGCCCTTATCCAGGCAAGTGAAGAGTTTTTCCATCATGCTCCTGACTTGTATCTTTGTATGGGGAGTGCAGGATTCGGAGGTGAATTAATCACTGCAGGATTCCTATCCTCTGACCTGACCTTTAAATCAGAATTTGTGGTTAGTCCAGTTCAGTTTCTGGTCAGTAGCTATCCAAAGGGTGTTGATAGTGGTGGATTGGGTGATAGTAATGTTGTTGAGTATAGAGGGTGATGGTCATTGTTGGGCAATAATTTTTAATCTTATATTTATGTTACATGCCACTTTTTGTCCTAAGCCTGAATATGGTCCAGATCTTTGTATTTGGACAAACATACTGCTTCCATATCTGAGGAGTCAGCAAATGTCCCACTTCTGACCTTATGATGGAGAGAAGATCATTGCTAAAGTAGCTGAAGGTGATTGGAGCTAGGACACTAAGAATGCCTGTGGAGATGTCCTGGAACTGACTGAACTCCACTAACTGCAGCCACCTTTCTTCGTTCCTGGTGTGACAGCAACCAGGATAAAATGGGGCAGATAATGATAAACTACTTTCACTGGTTGAACGTTCTAGAACCGGGGGCATAGGCTGGGCCATTCAGGAGAGATGGTAGAAAGCACTTCCACAAGCAAAGAATAGTGGGGGTTTGGAACACACTTCCTCCAAATAGTGGTCAATGCTAATTCAAAATTATTAGATTTGACTCTCCGATTTTAAATCTTTCTTAAGCAAGGGTATCGAGATATGTGGGCTGCAGACAGAGTTGGACCGCAGAGCAGCCACAGTCTTATTGAATGGCAAAGCAGGCTCGAATGGCATACTCCAATCTAACCAGTGGAGAGCTTTACCTCTTGATTCCCATTGACTTTAATTTCGCTAGGGCTCCTCAATGCCACACTCAGTCACATGTGGCCTTGATGTCAAAGGTAGTTGTTCTCTCACCTCACCTCTGGAATTCAGCTCCTTTTGCCCTTGTTTGAATCATTTTTTTTTTTGAGCTCTGCAGCTGAGTTGCTATGGTGGAACCCAAACTGGGTGTCAGTGAGCATGTCCTTGCAATGCAAGTATTACTTGATAGCACTACTTAGAGCATACCTGGACAATCCTCCATGTTGCCAGAGTTGTAAACTGTGCTGGAGCAGCTTGGCTTAGAGTGTGTCAAGTTCTGGAGCACATCTTCAGTACTATTGCTGGAATGTTGCCAGGGCCCTTAGCTTTTGCAGTATCCAGTATCTGGTGCCACTAGTTTTTATTTATATCAAATTGACTGGCTGAAGTCTGTCATTTCTGATGTTGGGGACCTCAGGAGGCAGAGATTAGTTGTCCACTCTTAGCTGTAGATTGGCATGATTTGCTTCAGCTATATCTTCTACACTGATGTGCTGGGCTTCCCCGTTAATGAGGATGTGAATATTTGTGGCTCCAGTGAATTGGTTAATTGTCCACCACCATTCACGATTCGATGTGGCAGGACTGCAGAGCTTAAATCTCGTCCATTGGTTATGGAATCACTTAATTCTATCTGTCACTTGCTGCTTAAGCTGTTTGACATGTAAGTAGTCCTGCTTTGTAGCTTCATCAGGTTGAAATCTCATTAAGTATGCCTGGTGCATGTCCTCCTACTCTCTCTTTTGAGCTTGAGTTGATTCCCTGGCTTGTTGTTGATGGTAGACTGGGGGATATGCAAGACCATAAGGTTGTAGGTTGTGATAGTGGGACATCAGCAGAATCAAGTTCGATGTAGCGATCTGCCTGCAATTCAGCAATGTTGTTTCCTCAAGGTTCCACTCCACCCTCCACTGGACAGTTGCTATGGGGGTCAAGTTGCAGCAGTGAGCCTGAATTCTCATAGCAGATTGCCTGGTTGGGATTATGTTCCAATCAGGCAGAGTCCTGGAAGCGGCTGTGTTGGGAGTTCGCGCTTACTCTCTAGCTAGTGGATGGACCAGCTGCTATGATAGCTAACTTTCATCCATTCTCATACTTTTTGTTTAAATTAAGACTATGAATGGGAGGGCTGTTTTTGCTTGGTTTCTGAATTTGTGAACAAAGAATTGTTACTTTGATATATTGACTGGCTACCAATTAGACTTTTTTGGTTTAAACATGTATGTTGAAAGTGAAATCATATTCACTTCATATTTTGTGTGTTTTCATTTACAGAATTGCCTAATACCACTTCAGAACATCTTCCATACTTGCTGCAGTGTGAGCATGTCTTTTGTGGGACATGTTTAAAAGTCCAACATATAAACTCTGACGTCATCTGTCTGTTGTGTCAGGCAAGTTTTTGTGCTTGTTTATGTGATTATGACTGATTTGTTATTTGAAATGAGCATTAAGGCTTTCACCATGTCTGTGCCATTGGTTTCCTATATTCTGTAGTATTAACATGGGCCCTTTTTCTGGTCTGTGTGAGCTGTGGTCTTGAATAGATCGAAATAGTAGTGCCATGGTAAAGTTATCCGGCAAATAACTTACTAGCTTGTATTCTCTATCCCTGCCAAAATACTTAACTCATTAATTTGTGTTAGCAACATTTAGGAGAAGTGGCAGTGTGGTTATAATGCCGCTGAACTGGTATTTAGAACCCCAGGATAACGTTGAGGACAAGTGTTCACATCACACCAAGGCAGATGGTGAAACTTGAATTCAATAAAATCTGGAATTAAAACTTAATTGGAACTATGTAATCACCTTCAATTATTGTAAAAATCCATATAGTTCACTCCTGCCCTTCAGGATAGGAAATCTGTCGTCCTCACTTGGTCTTACCTATATGACTCCAGGTCCACAGCAGTGTGGTTGACTCTTACAAGGCCATTTCAGATGGATAGATAAGGTACAATTGCAGGGGAGCTAGAGATAGGCAATCAGGACTTGACTACATAACAATGTCTGCATCCCATGGAAGAATAATGAAAATAGAATGACTGAAATTGAAACCTTGTAAGACTTGAGGGTAGCCCAAAATTGATTGAATGTATGAGATGGTGCCTGAAGGACTTTCGCCTTTTCATAAACAGCAAGGGCATTCATACTATATTTATCTTGTTTACTCAACCTCTCCTGAATAAGATTTCCCTCTGATCCAAGGGATCAGTCTGGTGAGCCTTTATAAGAGTCCCTCTATGGCAAATACATCCTTCTGTAGAGAGGCCAAATCTGTACATAATACCTCAAGTGTAGGAGATATATTTTTTTCACCCTTTTTTATTGTGGTGATCCAAATAATAAAAGTTGCTATTAGCAGTGCAGTGTAGAACAGTGCCTTCTCATATTCTCTGTGCTGGTCTGTGCTTTCCTTTAGGTCGTGCAGTCTCCTCTAATGTCAGGTATTAAGATATTTGGATAGGAGCAATTATTAGTAGGTAATTAAGAACACAGCCTCAGTGAAGGGGAGACGATTCCGCATTGAACAGGAATTTCTTCAGCAAGAGGGTGGTGAATCTGTGGAACTCATTGCCCCAGAAGACTGGGGAGGCTAAGTCATTTCAGATGAGAGGTTCTTGATTGGTCACGAGGAGAAGGTAGAAGAGTGGGGTTGAGAAACACATCAGGCATGATCGATTGACGCAGTAGACTCTATGGGCCGAACGGTTTAATTCTGTCCTATATCTTGTGGTCAGTTATTTTAAAAAGTGCTTAAATATTTTGATCTGTCTGATTTTACTTTTTTTTTTACTTACTTTTTCTAGGTTCCAACACCAGTGGATGCAGATACTGGAGTGGAGGCTCTTCCACTTGATAAATACATCATTGGTGCATTATATGCAGAAAAGATGTTTCATAATACAAAGTAAGATTTTACGAAGATACTATGCTGCAATAATGGTGCATGTTTTTTGTGGGCAGATTCAAAACCACAGTGCTTGCTGTTGATGTAGAAGAATGGTGCCCAAAATAATCAAGTGATTGCTATGGCATGGGCTCTTTTTATATAGGTGCACATGGTTCAATCTGTCAGCAAGCGGAGAGGGTATCAAGGTGTATGGTGATCATTAAAGTATAGTCATCACAGCATTTTAAGAGTAATAACCACTGAATTTGTTCACTTTTAAAAATTGATAATTTAGAGAAAAGTAAATACATACTTCAATGAATAACATTGAATCTAAAATAGCAAACTTGAAAAAATGTTTGTGAAGAAATTTGAGAATGCAGATAGTCCTCACTTTAAGTAATGATTTTCAGGAATGCCACCTCAACTTTTAAGTGGGGGGAAAAAAATAGTTTTCCATAAAAGTCAGTGTTAAAACTGGAGTTAGGTTCTTTTGCATGTTTTTATGCCGATGGCGAAAATATAGATTTAGCTATTATACTGTATGTGATGTTGTATATTTGTACCTGATAAACTTGCATTCGTTGAATTATTTTTTTTTTAAAATTACTGCATAAATTAAAATTAGCTAAGTCAGGTCTTGTCTTTTAAAAGTGCAGATTTCAATGGCTTCTGTCTCCACTCTTTATCTCCCTTTTTTTGGGTTTTTCCATTGTAGATTTTGTTCTCTTTGCCCCACGGAAGTGACCTCTCTTTTTAGAATGCACTATAAAATCTCTTGCTATAACTAATACTCTTGCCCTTGCGCTGGTGCTGTTTCACCCTGTCGCTGATGCCCTCCAGCCTGCTGGCATCCATTTGCTGCTGCCCATAAAAAATCAAAGACAACAAATGTAACTTTTGGTAGTAACAAGATGTTTTTGGACTATAGACTAGTGACCAGTTATCAATTACAGACCACTTTTTTTTTTTTTTTGCCTGCCGACAGCTGTGAGTTTAGTCCCTGATTCACTGGATGTCTCGGAGTTGCTGAGTTAGTGTTCAGTTCTTTTGTAGTATTTCTGGAGCAATAAACTAAATTTTGAAGAAAGTCAGTTTATCTCTAGCAATATTTGTTTGCTGTGGCTTTTAATGCTTCATGAAACTCGCTAAAATGTACACTTAGCCAGTTTCTCATAATTCAGCCCTTTTGTCTGCAGCCGGATTTATTCTTTTGACTCAGTTTTGACCTTCATACAAATTTAGAGTTTTCATGGGAATTTAAAGATACAAACATCTTGAGATTGACTCAGTATCATCGTTACATTATTCAATAATCTTTTTAATTGTCAATACTACCTATTTTTAAGACTGTACTAGAAATTTTTATATTTTAAAACCTTTTGTTATGCAGGAACAATGCCCAGATGGTTACTGAAGATTCTGAAGTTTCCAATGACTCAGAGCAAAAAAATAAAGACAATAAGCTTCCTGTCACAGGTTTTTTATTTTAAATAATTACCATTTTTTGCAAATATGTAGTTCATGGTTTGTGTTTTAGTATGTAACTTTGTTTTAAGAAGTAAAATTTAACAGCTAAGAAATTTAAGATCATCAAAACGTCAGACTTGGATTTTGCTAGAATATTGAAAACAAATGGTAGTTTGGAAGTGACCCACTGATTCCATTATACAAAATAGAAGAGCTAAAGATGTTAAATATCATGTGAGCTTGTTGAGCTGGTGAAATGGGGTATTCACTGTTTGCTGAAATGATAGTCCAAAGAAAGGTGCTTTGTGAGTTGAAGCAAAATAAGTTGGAAGGGTCCACTAATTATGGAAAGAAGCACAGAAGCTAGGAGTAGGTCTTTCAGCCTTTTATGCCTCTTCATCATTTAGTACAATCATGGCTGATCCTGCATCCCAACACCAGTCCTGCATCCCAACACCAGTCCTGCATC